TTATTCTGTGTAACCAAGTAAGTACCTTTCTTTTAGTGTATATGTATGTTACCGGCAATTTGTATAATCCGGTATTATATACAATACCTAGGCATTGTATAGAATACCTAAAACGTTTAGGTGATGTATGAAATATGATTTATTTTATACATTACCTAGGTATTCTATACAATACCGAATGCGCAGCGGGTAATGTGTGTAAAAGACAAGAGCGGTGCCGCGCCGGTGTAGTGGGAGACGGGAGACGTAGGAGCAGGGAGTAGGCACAGCCGCCCGGCACAGGCAGCATCCAAGTGCTTTTGTTTCATGAGTGAATTTATCTATTTCAAAATGGCGGCCGATCAACGAGTGTCTCAGATGAGAGAAAGATTTTCTTCACAATTGCGAATTAAACGGGAAGCAGCAAATACTAAAAATCGCACGTTTATTGACGATCGACGGTATGAACAATGGTTAGAAGAAGTAAAAAATGCAAAAATAGCCGAAAATAAGTCTCCCCGGGATTACTGGTTACTGAAGTGTTATGATTCTATAACTGTTGGTCAACAACATAAGTTGATATTTCCTGTTAATACTCCTGAAAACAATATTATATACTACGTCGCTGATAGTGAATTATTCCAAGTACTTCACGATACAAAAATATAACTCGTCATGATATTGAACTATATCTTCAACTTTGCGAACCGTGTCAGCAAAAACAAAAAGGAGTAAAAAAAAAGGGATCGTCGTCAAGCCTATACTTTCATCTGAATTTAACTCTCGCTGCCAAGTAGACTTGATCGACTATCAATCTCATCCATACCGGGAATATAAATTTGTAATGGTCTATCAGGATCATCTAACGAAATTTGTGATATTAAGAGCACTGTAAATAAAACACGCGAAGGAGGTAGCATACAATTTACGGGATATTGTCACACTGATTGGTGCCCCAGGAATCCTACAATCTGACAACGGTAGAGAATTCCCAAAGTCAGGGAAGTGTCGAACGAGCAAACCAGGATATCGAAAACATGCTTACAACTTGGATGCAAGATAATGGCACTGACCGTTGGAGTGATGGTCTACGATTTATACAACTTATGAAGAATAGAGCTTACCATTCAGGTATCAAGAGAACACCTTACAAAGCTCTTTTCGGATCTAAAATAAAAGTTGGTATATCTTTGGCTCCCGATGATACTTACAAGCTGGAAAGTGAAGAGGATCTAGAAAATGTGGTTAAGTCATCAGCTTCAAATGTTTAAAGTGCGAATGATGAACACACGACTATTCTAAGTTTCGAGATTCTTGATGATCCTGTAAATGTTGAAGATCTTCATTCTGTGATAAATGGTCAACCGTTAGATGATCCAAATTTCATAGCAGAACCTGAGCAATCATTAAGTTCCCCACTCTTGTGTTGTGTTTGTACCAAGGAGACAACAGGTACACATTCGTGTAGAAAATGCCACAGACCTGTTCATGCTATTTGTGCTGCTCCGGAAAAAGATATGGCAGAAGGACATGGTTCTAAAGTTGTTTGCCCTTTATGTGTGAAAAACGCCTTAGCTGTAGAGAACCGCATTAGTTCCAAAGAAAATTTAACACAGCAAGCTCAGAAAATGCTCAAAACTTCTGAAAACAAATTTCCTCCTGTGCCATTGGGTACCACTGTAAGAATCCCTGTTTCAGAAGTCGACAGAGGTTGGGGTGATGCTCGCAATATACTAGCTGTAGTCTTACAAAAAACAAATGACGAACTTTATCAACTCGGAACAAAACAAGGCGTTGTAAAGTCATTGTATTCAAGACAGCAGTTCACAGTAACAAGAGTTACTTAAAAAAGAAGATGTCCCTAATCAAGAAACAACACTCCGTACAGTTGCGAATCTACAATCTAGGGGCATAGGTCAGGGATTTGTAAAATGTACTTGCAAAAAACACTGCGATACTAAAAAGTGTTCATGTTTTAAAAGTAAAATTTTATGCACTTCAAAATGCCACGATAGTTCTTCATGTAAGAATAAATAAATTTTTTTTACTCGACCAATTTTGATTAAGGCAGTAGACCTAGGTACTACCTACCTATTTTTACAGAATTGTTTCCTAATTTTTCAATCTAATTACCTAATTACTTATAAGCAAATTAGATTGTTACTTAAGTTGTTACGTTTTGGGTTAAAGTTTTGTGTAATAATTCTTATTTTTACTGCAAAAAAGGTACATATTATATTACTTACCTTTTTTATAAAGATTATCTTTAATGGGTTACCTAATTGTTAATTTCAATAAAGTTTCAGCAAACATAAGATGTTTTATTTGTCCTTTTTTTTCTTTTAACTTTATACATTACCGGTGGACCAGCAGGTACTCTATACAATCCCTAGGAATTATATACATTACCTAGGTAAAGTATGTAAGGGAGAATAATATTCATAATATTTCATACATTGCCTGGGCGCTCCAGGTATTCTATTCATTGCCTAGGTATTGTATAGAATACCTGAATTATACAGATTGCCGGTAACATATATAATAGTTTGAACATATATTACGTATTCCTTGATGCGAAATTTTCTAATTTTTGTTTGTGGGACGTTATGGCCCAACAGGCTTTATTGGTGAGATCATTTGTCCCACGAGACCTATGAATGTGTTTTTTTCTTTCAGGATGAATAGAAACAAAAAACATCTAGTTCAAGTTGAGCTTGAAAGAATTGCTGAAAATCTTGATTTCTTCGAAAGTGATACTGATCCTTACCAAAATAGTAGTGATGAAGACCCAGATTGGTATAGCTCGTGTTCAGAAACCAAGTCTGAGTGCGATGGTGATGTTCAATCAGAAAATAACGAACTCATCGAAGCTGAAGATACAGGTAGCGATAATGGTGATGCGAATCGTCAAGTACTTTGTTTCCTCAAACTGCATCTACAAGCCCCCAGCCTGGGCCTTCAACTGCATTAAGTACGATAATGTGGTCTTCAGTTCCGCAAAATTACATTTCACGATTTTAACTGCCTTTTGCTAGGGATACAAAAATCCTCCTGAACTGTATAAATAGCCAATCAACAGAATTGGAAGTGTTTATGCAGTTATTCTCAAAAAATTTGTACATGTTCATATCCCAATGCACCAATGAGAGGCTAAAAATTATCGAAAAAAAACTGAAAAGAAAGTGAAATTGACTGACTATTCTATAATTATGATGGTAACTGATGTTATGTTAGTAATGGCTTATAATGAGCTGCCAAGCTTGAACTGCTATTGGTCAAAACATCCTTCTATGGGAAATACTACAATGAAAAATGCAATGTCGTGCGATCGGTACAAATTGCTAATTTCTAAATTCTATTTTAATTACCCCGAAAAATCACCAAACTGTACAAAGATTTATTACGTAGTGTGTCCTTGGAGTGTTTTAAATATACATATCAGAAAGCTAGAACGGATTTGATTTACCAGTCCATAGACGAAAGCATGGCGAAATTCAAAGGTAGATCCAGCTTGAAACAATATTTGCCACTAAAACCCATCAAGCCTGGCATCAAATTATGGGTAAGAAGCGACTCTCTAACTGAATATATATACGATCTAAATGCATATAGTGGTAAAGAAGAAGGCCAGATAGATGGAATTCTAGAGGAAAGGGTAGTATGCAAGCTTACCTTTTCCATAAGAAAATCAGATGTTTTAGTTTTTTTTGATAGATTCTTTACATCAGTAACGTTGATGAAAACATTACCATACACAGCAGTAGGGACTTGTATTAGTAGCCGAAAAAATATACCGAAAAGACGAGAAAAACTCGAGAAAAGTCAAGCCAAATTCTTGTGTACAAATGATGGAATAACTTTTACTAGATGGCAAGATACAAAGGAAGTCATGGCAATTAGCAACTGTCACGGGGATCAGATAACCATGGTTGAAAGAACACATAAAAATGGTGTGAAAGCCTCTCTTGAGTGCCCCGAGATCATTTCCTTTTACAACAAGTATAATGGGAGGTGTTTATTTGACAGACCATTTGACTAGCCTCTACGACTTTGATCGGAAGTCTACCAAATGGTGGAATAAGGTTTTTTACAAAATGATGTTGATGACTGCTGTATATTCATGTATATACATTATCCATAATGAAGTAAAACGCAAAAAGGTACCATTTTTGGATTTCTTGGTGTCTTTGGCAGAAGGTCTTATTGAACATGGGAAAAGTAAGACGTATGACGAGACGTTTAAGATCTGGACGAGTTTCGAAGAGGCAAAGAACAATGTTGAATATTGGAGATTACATGCCTGTTATTGAACAACAGCGGAAAAGGTGTACTAGATGCTCACAAAACAATATTGAAAAGCGCACAAGATCAATCTGTAGAGCATGTGGTGTCCCACTATGTAACAAATGTTTTACACCTTATCATATGTAATCACAATTTTTTGTTTATTGTAAAATTAGTTACTAAAATACGGTTTTTTTATTTTTTTGTTTATTATTTTACAACTTTCAAGACTAATGGGCTGTAATGTCCCGGTAGAACGGACTAATGGGACAATATGTCCCATTTTTCAAAATATTAAATACATTTTGGAAAATTCTAAAAAAAAAATACAAACTGCTTAAAAACTTCCTAATGTTAGAAAATGAAATAATATTAATGATTACAATATGTAAAACAGAAATAAAAATCCGTCCTGAAAGGGTTAACGTCATAGATAATTTTAAAATCGTCAAAATTACTATATCTCGTCAAAATGACGTGATGATATTTAGTTAAAATAAGGTTATTTTTTGATTAAATATTTTAAAAATAATAGTCAATACAATTTTATAAATTATTAATATTATATTCAATGAAAACCGTAAGCAAAAAACTGTAAGATAAATATGTATATAATAAAGGAAAACATTTACACATCTGATAACGAAATATTTACTATTTTAAATATTGAATATTTTGATCAGCTAGAAGAAATATTTAAAAAACTAATATACTAATATTATTCTTTTTTTTTTCAGGACACTGAAATGCACAAGAATTAAAATTCATACACAATTATTTATTTCTTTTATCCTAAATAACGTCTTGTGGATAGTGTGGTATGAAGAAGTAGTTCCGTATATAGAAGTAACTGTAGCAAACCCGGTAAGTTATTATTACATATGTCTAGATCCATTGAATAACGAGATAAAAACACAATTCCATATACAAATTAATTTGAGTTTGTGTTTGTCTCTTAATGGCACTTCCATTTCATCCAGTCTATTCCATATTACTGGTCTATATACTGTGTCGATTGCTGTTTTTAGGTCTCCGAAAGTCAGAAAAATTTCTTCTCCTTTTATTTGTCTGTGTATCGTTTCTTAAAATGTATATGTTATAGTTTGTCTACCTTTCTGGTGTAAATGCTGCTTGTTCTTTATCTAATTTCTGGTCTACATGTTCTCTTCTTTTTTTTAGAATTCTTTTGTGCAGTTTGAAATTGGACCAAACTTATAGATCTGTAGTTGTTGCACTCTGTTTGTTTTCCCGTTTTGTACACATGTATTATGAGATTTTTTTCCAATACTCTTCGTATCTTTTGTTTTTGCTATGCGTCTTTGTTTATAGGCCATATCCACTCTTTTCCTTTTTCTCTCAACCACTTATTAATTTCCGGAGCTACTCCATCTTCCCTATTTGTCTTTCCTGTTTTGATTTTTGTATGTTTCTACTATTTGTCCTGTCTTTATTTGTCCTTGTTATTCTAGTAAGAACACACTATATCTTTGTATATTGAAATTACATATGCGGCATCTCTATCAGCATTTTTCACATATTCTTTACTGCCTATTATTTTGCCATTCAACTATATAATAATGTTCTAGTTTTAATGATAATTGTCTGTAGGTACTTTTAGATTTATCCTATATAATATTTTTGTTAAAAAATTTCGAAGATAGTATTTTTTTGATATTGCTGTTTGTTTATAATACTAAAATAATTAAATAAATACCTTTAAATTTCTAGTTGTGGTGTCAATTCCTCCATCTTTTCAAAGAATATTTTATGGTAGCCAACTATATGTGGATGTTCTGTGAAGGATTGCATCTGCATCTAGCTTTAGTCGTTGTTTTTGTACGTGAAGAAAAAACCATTAAGTTGTTCTACGGAATTGGATGGGGAGTACCAGTTATTATTGTTGGGCTACATAATATGGTTAGGCTGTTTTATACAAAAGACACAAGAAAGTGAGTATCTAATTCACTAGTTATTTTTAAAATTGTTAAAAAATTCCTTCAATATAAAAAGTTCACTTTATTTTAGATTTTTAACAGAGCAGTTTTTTGTGTAACATCCTGTATTTTATATAAAAGTTTAGTAGGTATTTAACTAAGCAAATTCAGTAATCCTATGGCCATTTTTTATCAAATGCGTTTCAATTAAATTCATTATTTATGTTATACAAAGTGATGCGAATATCTATATATGTACTGGCCTGCCTTGCGTGTGCCGGAAAGAGTTTGTGTATGATATGGACCGATTAAGCATCGATACTGCATTGTATAATAGTCCGCGCATCGTCCATATCGTCACCCTCATCACGAAGTGGCATAAGTGACAGTAAATTTTACAGCAATAAAACGAATATGCGTAATTCTCATATCGTTATGCGTTATTGCAGATAGGACACAGAAACAATATGTTGTATTGCATGCACTATTAAGGTTGTAGATGTGCCACTTCATGAGATGATAAAGAAGGTCAAGACTAGTTAATCCGCACAAAAAAACATTTGTTTTAATTTTTGTTGGTTAGGTCACTTCGTGATAAGGGCGACGATATGAATAGCTTACTTAAATAGTAACGTTGTAATCAGTGTTGCCAGTCTAGTACAATTGTACTAGATCTAGTACATTTTCTAAGAATCTGGTACACTCGAAGCAAAATCTAGTACCATGTTACCGTGTTACCATTTGACGTCTGTAAAATTTATGGTTGGGATCTTGCTCCTAGTTTTGTTTTCGTTCACTAAAAATATTTTTTTTTTGTAATGAACTAAACCACAGCACAATTCATTCGAAAATCTGGTACATTTTACAGAATCTAGTACATTTTTATGTAATCTTGTACATTTTTTAGATAAATCTGGTACATAACAAAAGTATATTCTGGTAATACTGGTTGTAATACATTGAGTTCTCTCATGTAGAATGAGTGTTCTCGTTTGTATATAGACAAAGTAAGCCCCTTAAGTTTTTATGATATACTGCAATGGTATACCGTGGTAACTAACCTCTGTTTATTATTTTTAAGGGAGTCATAATAACGGACTAGTCTGGTAAAAATTTTAACAACAGTTATGACTGAACTGTCAGTTATAACTGAACTGCCATTAGAAAACTTGTCAAATAATAATATTTTATTTAATTTCAGGTCATAAAACGTAGTAAATTCCAGTATATCATAAAACGTTGTGTGATACACGCCCGTTACCTGATCTCTACATGCTCGCACGGGCATATAACGTGCTCGCATGTATAGGTGTAGATAACGGGCTTAGAATTCAAACTACTATTAAATGTGTGATGATGATGATGATAATAATAATATAAAATTATATTTTAGGTGTTGGTTAGACGAGTCAAGTTTTAGCCACTGGTTTTTAAGCATTCCTGTATTAATTATTTTAGGAGTTTGCACAGGTAATACATTGCAAATTAATCTTATCTTAGTTGAGTTAGCATTAATAAGTAGCTACTGCCTGTGGCGGCTCGTGGGGTGGTTCACAGTGACAGAATATAGATATCAGTACAGATGTATGAAAAAACTTTCAGTGTTTTAGAAAGTTTATAATACACCTTTCTAAAACACTGACAGTTTTTTACCTATATCTGTACCGGGATCTATATTCTGTTACTGTGATCCCCCAAAATTTTGATTACGAGCCGCCCCTATATTTGTACAGGATATCCCGTAAATATACCGACAACCTTTTTTTAGCGGTGGTAGCAGACATCAAAATAAACATAAGCATATATCTGATAACACCAAAGGTCAATGCTTTGCATTCAAATAAATGGTTAACAATGTGAAAAATTATTATAGCATAATTTTTTCATTAAATAGGTACGAGAAGATTTTAAGTTTTTAAAAGTATATTTTAATTTTTTTAAGGGTTCAAAGAATGAATTTAGTTTAAATAAATGTTGACTGTAAAAGTCTGAGTTTTAATTTTTTTCTCGAGAAGTCGTATTTTTTAGTTAAAAATTATTTATTATTTATTTTGTAAATGTTGGACAATAAACGTATTTAATATATTGATTAAAAATCTATCTTTTTCTTTTAACTTTAACGCTCTGTATCTTGTGTACAAAGCATTTTTAGGCATATATTTCTAATGGACTACAAACTCATCGAGAATTTTTAAGGGGTCATTAGACCCAGCTTGAATTACTTATAAATCAATACTACTTACCACATGTAACAAGTTTAAAAACTATGCTGTCAATTCTTGTTGTTGCAGGTGAGTACTTATAGGTATATGCTAAACCTACCACCACAGGGGGTGGTTTTGGAAAACATTTATGGACGGCATTTCTAAAATAATTAGGTAATGATATCAGGAGCCAGGAAAATTTTTGATTTTCCGAACATTTTTGCCCAATTTTTGAAGATTTACTACAGTGCGGCATTTAAACACTAAGATTTGGATCGTTTTTAGCAACGTTGTACATATTTGCTTATACAGGGGTTAGAAATGCAAGGCGCAACTCTCTATTTTACCCCTCACTGTTTTAAGTCACTGAAATGCACGGCGTCGATTAAGGGTTGCCACCTTTTTAAAAAATGATGACAGAGATTCGGTTAAAATGATTTTGCCGAGCTTCTAAATAACTCCTGGTCCCTTCTGGCCGAGCTTCTTAAAATAGAGATCCTAGTTAAAAGGTGCTACTTAAAAAGTCCCTTAAAAGGTACTAGTTAAAAGGTGCTAGTTAAAAGGTCCCAAGTAGCATTTTTCGTGGGCGGAACGTGGCTACCACGACTTTAGAAACTTTAAAGTGTATTGCCAAAGTTTCTACCACGTAATAGACACGGTTCTACCACGTGGCGGTAACCAAAATGGGGAACACTTTCTTGGTGGCAGCCACGTTTCCGGAACTTATATAATCACGTTTACGCCACGTTGCGAAAACGTGACGAAAACATAGCGAAAACGTGGCGGCACGGTGGCAGACACTAAACGCTAAACTTTGCTTACTGCCTTTGTCTTTTAATTGATATTTGTAGCTCGATATCCGTCCTGCAAATTCTGATAGGCAAAAAGTTGGAACGATTGGAAGTTTACTGTCAAATATAGGTGTTGTAGCTCGAAATATGGGCACGCGCCATCGGAATACTCTATATTTAATTAAAAAGTTAAAATCTGTAACTTTTCCATCTACGAACTTATTTATTTAGATGCCTTAAACAGTATTTTTTATCAATTTATGGTTAATTAAAATCATTAAATATATTTGAATTTTATTGCATTGAAGCTATACGGACGAAAAAAAATTGTTTACATAGCACCTTTTTATTTTCTCATAATGGCGATCTTAAAAATGGTTACAAATATGTCTACTTCAGGAAAAAAACTTTAAAGTTACAGAAACTCAACATATGCAACTTTGTAGTTACTTTCATCAAATAAGTGGCAGCTGGAACTAATCTAAAATATTTTTCACCATTTCAAAGTGGCGGTTACGTGGAAGCCAGCTAGTGTTTGCCACCATAAAGTTAATTATTTACATTGTTGCCAAATCACTTATTTAATAGTTTTTGAGTTGTTCAATAAGGCCAATGTCAGGGAGAAAAATCAAATTTGCCCTAAATAACAAATATGTCATCTATCAACCTAGATCAAGGTAATGTAAATTTAAAGCAATTTTACTCTTGAATAGCGTAAAATGGCTTAATCAAATATTAAGGTACAGTAAATTCCATTTTAATTCACAAAGTTGATACTTGTTAGTTACCTTTCTGGTTACCGTTTGTTTATCTTAATAGTAATTTCTAGTAAAGACTTATAACTTATGTATTTAACAATTTATTTTATCTCTTTTAATAAACGTTTTAAGTGCCGTTCTAAAAATAACTAAACACCTTGTACAAATATAGTGTACATTCAAGATGATTATGGGAAAAATGTGTATACTATATCTTCTCAGGGAAATTGAGCTCTGATGATATCGCAACACTGTATTAGTTGTATTATTCCATATAACCTCAAAATTTACAGTTAAATTTGTTTATGTCACAAATTTATGTATTTAATGTTTTATATTGTGTTTGTATACGAGTTTTAAAATTTTATCGACTCAAGAAAAGAGGGTTGTTTGTTTCTGCGTTGTACCATTCATTTGTTGTTTAAGTTGTCTATAAAAAGTTGTCGAATATCAAAAAGTAATATTTTTTCGAGGCTTCTTGTTGTTTCCCATTTTACAAATAAATGCACTCTAGATAAGTCTAAAAACAAAGTAATTTGCGCACAGATCGACGACACTTTGGTAGTTCTTTTTTTATTGTAAAGGCGGACAATGTAGAAAGAAAGCCACTGATAGGCAACGGTTACTTCAGTGTGAATTTTGAAGGTAATAGTAACTTTGAAGTGGCTTTTATTCTACGCAATATGTGAAAATTATTTAAGAACGTGGCAAGAACGTGGCAAGAACTATTGCAGTTATACAATCAAGCGCCGCCACTTTAAAAATATATTTATGTTTCCCGAAACGTTACTAAAACTATCAAACCCACTTTAAGATTACTGCCACTTTTAGGTGGTATTTAAGTGATATGATTTGGTGGCCATAACTACTATTTTCCACATTTAAGTTTGTGGAACTTTAAAGTGGTCCCGCTTAATGGCTATAACGTTTCAAACACCTTCAGAGGCAACTAAATAATATAACACTTTGAAGTGATTGCCAGTAATTATAACGTAATAGTCAGTTAATCGAAGTGGCGATATAAGTTTCTGTCACTATAATGCTACTTGGGAACCAAGTTAAAAGGTCCTTATTAGAAGGTCCTATTTAAAAGGTCCTAGTTTTATAAAAACCAGGTCCTTTTTAAGGGCATGTGCCGTAAAAAAAGACATTTTAAGCTTTCAAAAGTCACAAGGACATTTTTTTGTAAAAAGGAGTGTCCTTTTTAAAAAAGAATAGGTGGCTAGCATCGATTCAACACGAATATTTAATTTTAAAAATAATTTCAAAAGTTGTTACCTATGGTAGTATTGATTTTTAAGTAATTCATGCTGGGTCAAATGACCCCTTGAAAATTTTCGATGGGCTTGTAGACTATAAAGAAAAAGTGTTTAATTGTTTAATTTGATATTCCTTAGTACTCTTAAAAGTTTGTCGGTACACCTGCAGGGAACCTTGTAGATTCCTTCTTTAGCATTTGTTTTTATTTTGTAATATTAAATCTGAACTATAATTAACTTTTCAAATATGTAATAACCACTCAATTTTTTGTTTTCAGTATTCTTAATAAATGTACTTAGAGTCATTCTAACAATAATGCACCCAAACTCTCCAAATCCGGCACCAGTGAGTATTCGAAGAGCTGCCCGAGCTGCCCTCATCCTCATACCTCTCTTTGGAATCCAATTTATTTTACTACCAATGGTTCCGGAGCCCCATCATCCTCTGTACCACTTTTACTTATGGTTTACTTTTATCATCGTCCCGTTTCAGGTAAGTGTTTAGTATATTTTTACTTGAATTGAAATTAAACATTTCGTGAACGCCCAAGTTTTAAACTTTAAATTACTTATTATATAGAATTCTTAGTATAAGCCATGACCGCAGTCAAACGATGATCATCTGGTGTATAAAGAAAAATATAATTTATTATTGCTTGGATATGAGTTAAACCGTTGGTCTGGCGGTCTCTAAATTGCCCTGTATAAGTGACCTAGGCGTAATAGCTAAACCAAACAAAGTACATTATTAACTTAAAATGCTTTTAGGGTTGATTCTAATCTTTTAAATCTATTAATCTCATGAAAAATTGATTACCAGAAATGTCGAAAGTTAGCGACACCACTCTAAGCTTTATCAAATAATAACGTTCATATTATCTAAATTACAGGGTTTGTGCTGTGCATGTTTATTCTGCTTCGCCAATCATGATGTATGCGAAGCCTTGAAAGCATGCATCTATAATATGAGGCATCGAAACATGAGGTTTAGCAGTTATCGCTACACTGGGGCCGTAGATAGTGCCGGCGTTTATGTTGTCAATGGCTCGAGTTTGCAACGTAAATCCACTTTGTCCACTAAACTATAAATAGGTAAGTCTATTACAATGAGAGTGCTAAAATCAATTTATATTATGAGAGTATCATCATTGTTTTGTTTGTAACAATGGAGGTTAAATGTATATGGTATATAACCGGTTTTGTCAACGGGTCTATAGAATAGAAGGAAGTATTGACTTTTACTTTATCCTATTTAAGTACTTACTCAATATTAATTAAATTAAAGATAAGAAACTAAATCATGCAAAAGTGTTCACTTGTAGAAGTCAGAAAATTCAACCTGTTTCAAGTAATCACTTAAAATATAGGAATTTACTTATAATTTTCCAATACTATCTTATTTTAATTTGAATAATAAAAGAAAAGCATACTTTTTCGCAACAGTAATAATTGTTGCTAAATAATTTCTGTTGTTAAATATAGTGAAGTTTGCAGATGTTCGCAATAAGAACTACAGTGAAAGAAGAATCATCATTTTCGGCATTTTGAAAGATTCGTTTTCAGATTATTTTTTGACATTATTTTATGAAACCAGAAGATATGCATCGCTAGGAAAAAGAAGCAGATATTTATATCATATGTCAGTGATACCGGATTTCAAAGAGGTATTGATGAAGATTTTGAAATTAATCACAAAACTATAAATAACGTAGCTTAATAATATCTTTGAAAAAGCTCATACAATTTCTGATCTGATTTAGAAGCCACCATGGAAGAAGGAAGAACAAAATGGTGTAATTGATTCCAAATTACTACAGTTATTGGTGCACTAGATTGTATTTACGTTCAGAATAAAGAAGCATCAGAAATGGAAGATGATTTTATAAATGAAACATTATTTGGTGACGAAATTCTATACATGATATTGTGACAAGATTTCGGAGTAATTTTTGCCTTCTTGGAGACAGAGTATATGTCGTTTAAATGTATATCTTACTACCAGTTAATACCACAAGTATATTATTTAATTAAATTGTAAAGTAGAGAAACTTATTTTACTCGTCAAACTGACATCAATAAATATAATATTTTTTACACACCATATACCAAATATAAAAAATAGAACATTAAAGTAAACTTGATTCAATGCAACTTCCGACACCCCTACTCAACGAATCATCTTTCTTTTCCCAAAGTCCAACTGCTCTTCGAAACACGATACACATATCGCTGTTCCGGTAAAACTATGACGCAAATGCAAAATTATAAATTTTTCAGGAGAGACGAAAAACGAATATTATTACTTCCAAATTTGGGCACTTAAATCACAATAAACTTGTTTTAAATAGCAAATACGACATTTAACCATGGAGTAAGTAATGTCTTCCTTAAATTTGCATACACAACTGTTTATATGTCATTGTTTTTCAAAAGTGGAGGAGAAAACATTAATATTTGAAAACTGACGTAACTACCATTTAGATGGCTGCGAGTGAATATAAAATTTCGCCGTTGTTATATCGTATAGAGAAACTAATTTGGAAACTAATGACATGTTAAAATCAAAATGTCACAATTTTGCACTTGCGTCATTGTTTTACCGGAACGGCGATATTAAAGCTTAGACTAAGGTATTAAAGGTATGCTGACTTTCGATTCAAAATTCGTCCAAACCGCGCATGACGTAATGCGGGACGAACTTTCAAGTTATTTTAACACTTTTCGATTGAATAGTGTAAAATAATTTAATAATTTATTTGTTTTAATAGTGACTATATTTTCCTATATATACAGGGAAGAACTAAATTAATGTTTAAAATGCCGGGCTGCGCGGTGGAGATATTTCCGAATGCCACAAAATATGGGTAAATTCTTATCGAAGAAAGGACAAACTTAATTGAAATTGCGCTATTCTGAGGAAAGTAGTTGTGAGATTCGTCTTAAACATAGACGCAAGAAAAAGAAACTGAATTCTACCAGGTGCAGGGGCCTCATTAAGCAAAGAAAATAAATCGGTATTTAAACATTTTAGTAGATAAAACAGTAGTGTCCTGTCCCAATACAACGGTACTTTTCAAGTAATGCCATGCATGAGCAGGACACGAACGTATATAAGAAAAAGATAAATGAACAGAAAAATTGGTTTTGAGTATTTTCAAAGTAAACTTGACAAAAAAAATGTTTCTGTTTACTTACTTTTTATAAATAAATAATTTGTTTCTGCACACTTATTTTTATTTCACATAATAAGGAAAGAGATTGCAAGAGAACTACTACGCCGAAAAAGTACAATTTTGAGTCAAACTTCTATTTTTGGTCTATATCTTTTACTTATCTTATAGCCATGGAGTTTGTCACAAAATACCTATAATTTATGAGAAAAATTAATATTTTTATTAGTATTATTTACCTTAAACCTCCATATTTGTAAACTAATATATTACAAAATAACCAATAAAACTTAAGTAACTGCATAAAATCTAAAATTGTCAAAATATCGAATTTTAAACACTATTTAATGCTTATAATTCTATGTCCCACGTGAGGTCACCGTCAGTCAGCTGCATGCGCAGGAACATACCCTTAGTCTGTGTATCCTGCTTCAAAGTTTCTGAAATGCTTTTTTCGGTAGTGGCTTAGTGAGTCCATGTGCTGTAATTTTTGAGATATGACAATATTATTGTTTCAAATGATGGTATTTTATATTAAATGTTTAGTCCTTTAACTAAATTTCTCTAGCAATTTCACTACATCCTTGGTTATCTTCGAACACAGGAGTAGGTTCTTCATATCCAATGTCAAAGTCCGAAAGTAATCGTCTAATCCAAATCAGTTCTTGGCTAGCTAGAGATGCAGAAACATATTTGGACTCAGTGGAACTTACGAGGGCTGTCTTAAGTTTTGCATATAAACCTAGAATAAAACAGCAGATAGTGTTTAAACATTTTATTGTTTTTCAAAGTATTCTCCACGAAGATTAATGCACCTTTGCATGCGCTCGAACCAGCTCTGAAAGCAGTTATTCCACTCCTGGGGTGTCACAGCTTCAATGGCTATTTTGAATCCCTCAACTGCATCTTCTGGTGAGTGGAACCGTTGCCCACGCAGTGCGTTCTGGATTTTCGGAAAGGTAAAAAATCGTTGGGACTTAGGTCGAGACTGTAAGGAGGGTGGTCTAACAACTCAACGTTTTGTTGCTCTAAGAAGGCAATTATTTTTCGAGCTTGATGCGCACTTGCATTGTCTGTGTTGAAGGATGATTCGTCGTTTGGGATTGGTTTCCCGAAGCTTATCGATGACTGCTGGCAAATAAATCATTATAGACCAATCGGTAGTAACAGCTCTTTGCTCTTGCAAAGAAATTGTTGCAACATGACCTTCTTTGGAGAAAAATATTGCGACCATCTGTTTAGACACATTTCGAGAACGGATCACTTTTGTCGGCTTTTCTTCACCTTGGAAACCCCAAACAGACGATTGGTGCTTATTTTCAGTTTCATATGAGTAAGTCCATGATTAATCACCACTTGCGATGCAATACACGTTTTTAGAGTTTCCAGTGTTGAAGCGCTCTAGAGTTTTTTGACACAAATTTACCCTAGCTGCTTTTTGTTCTTCGTCAACAGAAGCGGTATCCAACGGAACACTAATTTTTTTACTCCCAATTTTTCATGCAAAATCTTTTGGATTGAGGTCTTTGAAATCCCTAACGATGCTTCAATCTCGCGATATGTCACATGCCGATCTTCCTCGAGCCTGCCCACAGCATCAATGGATTCCTGGGTGACTACCGATTTAAGTGCACCTGTTCTTGGCTCGTCACTAAGATTAACCCGTCCTCGAGTAAATTCTCCATACCAACGAGAAATTGTCATCACTGTTTTAAAAGCTTTCCAGTCGTTTGATCTTGATGTACTCACTCTTCTCGTTAAATAGTTTACTGCTGTTTCAATATCGGGTCTAGTCATTGTAGATAAATATAGAAGTACCCCCACTATTTTTCGGTTTTTCTCGTTCTTTCGTTATTTTGTGATAATCCGAGTATACTTAATTAGCATCTTTTAAATTTATATCTTCAATTAGTGGCTGTATTTTGGTTTCTTGATCAAGCAAGTAAGAACCGTCTTTTTCACGTTCAATTCTTATTTCCAAGAAGAAAATTATATCGCTTAGATCCTTTACTTGAAAAGGATTGATCAATTTTTCTCCTAAATTCTTGATAACAGATGTGCTTTTATGGCAGATCAGGATGTTGTCTACATAGATAAGAAGATATAAATAGTAATTTTCTTCCCTTTTTACGAATAAACATGGATCATTGCAGCTTTGCTTAAAATCAAGTTCTTGTAGAGTTTCTTTAAGTTTGTGATTCGAAGCTCTGGCAGTTTGTTTCAAACCATGGACAGATTTTTGCAGACTGTATACTAAATCTTGTTTTTCTGTATCTAAAAATAACTTGGTTGTGTCAAATAAATTTCATCCTCGAGTTCACCATTGAGAAAAGCTGTTTTTACGTCATAGTGTCTTATGGTCAATTTTAATACAGCAGCAATAGTAAGAAGAATTCTAAAGCTACATTGTTTAATTACTGAAGCGTAAGTGCTGTCATAATATTCGCCAAATCTTTCTATTACTGTCTGTTTTAATTTTAAAAATCTATTTAGAAGCTATTGAAGGTAATTCAGTAAGATACAAAACTTGTCTTTCTGTAAAAAGAATTTAATTCGTCTTCCATTTTTGTTTTGCAACTTCTGGAAATGTCATCAAATTCTTTATTGATACTGCTTCTCTCAAAAATTCCTTATTTGATATGAATTTTTTTCTGGAAGTTTGCCCTTTCTTTCTCTTTCTGATCTTATGATTCTCTGATCCTCTTGTATTTCTTCATTTTTATCCCGATTCTTGTTATTATCATCTTTACTGTAAAATTTGCAACTGTCGTTTTTTTTGTTTCCTATATCGCCATTAAGTTAATCAGTTTCATCACTACACTTTCATTTTATTTTGAAATTTTAATATTTTTCTCAACTATTTCAATATTTTTGGTTTCCAATCTCTCA